ATCTTCAAACGGTAACTCTTTTTATCAGTAGCCGTCGCTGATATTACAGATTAGACGTAATAATGCTGGTGAGGATTTTTACTCATATTCAGTATCAACAGTGCTTTGATCGGATTTTTTTTTAAATATTCGAAATGAGGAAAAGTTCGATCTTCGTGATACATTATTAATGATTAATTCTTCTCCTTGTTTCGAGAACCAAATATTCTCATTTCAATGTATAGAACTCGCACGAAAAAGAAAAATCTTTTCTTCTGTTTGGCATCTTGTTCTTCAGTGTTGGATAACGTTACTTTGTCCTCTCCTTTCTTATTTCGGGTAGATCGGTTGACGGTAGCTCCCACTGGAATAAAACTAGAAGCAGATGAGGCTTGGGGAGTGATTAGAGGGCTAGAAACTTTAAGTCAGTTAGTAGTCATCAAAGCCGGACAGGTATGTTTGCGTTTTTGTCCCTCATTCAATTTTTACATAAGTTATTACGTATCATAAGCGACTGATTGATAATTCCAATGGAATTCAATTATCTGCAGAAGAGATAGAAGAGAAATACCTCATAAAATACTATACAAATATAATGTCAATACAATAAACATGATTCGAAAAGATAAATATGGCTGATTCGCCGGTAGGTCTGTATAGAATGCATCATGTCGATCGTCACATAAATAGCTGGTCAAGATTAACATACATCGGGTTTTATCTCATTTCAGTTCTACATCCGCCAAACTGTAATACGTGATGCTCCTCGGTATAAGTATAGGGGCTTCCTACTGGATACTGCCAGACACTTCATCACAAAACAGGTCATATTGGATGTTTTGGTGCGTACTTCTTCTTCATTATTATTATATTTAAAAAATAATGGTTTAACCGGTAAATTCCTACACGTATGTCAAATCTTAAAAACAATTAAGCAAAACGCACGTTTTTGCATGGAAATTATCGAGTTCACAATCCTTACAATCTTAATTAATCTTTTTCGTGGTTTAATTTCATTGTCGAAAATTATAAAAATAAAATGTTCCATTTGAAATAAAACTCTTACAGTATGTTTTGCTAAGATCAAGCGTTACATACGTCGAGGATAATTTTAACTGAAATACACTTAAGATTCATTGGCTACGTTACTGTTTTACTCTCCTGGTTTTATACAGGTATCGGCAATGGGCTGATTATAACATTAAAATCTCAATATAAGAGGTTATTTTTAACCCTCAAGAGTCATAAGTTTCAGTTGAAATAAAAATGTTTACTTTTTGAAGTTTGCTTCATCATAACTTTCCCCAGCTTTAGATTTTACATGGAAGTGAAAATGGAAGAGAAATTGATCAAGAAGTTCATTCTTTAACTACATTTAAACTTTGTTAATAAAACCTGGCTACAGACACCATCATAGTAGCCAGAGTATATCAAATATTAGTCTAATTTTATTATAATCTTCTTTTTTTCCAGGAAGGAATGGCTCAAAACAAGTTGAATGTGCTGCACTGGCATATGGTTGACGACCAGTCCTTCCCGTTCAAAAGTGATAAATTTCCCGATCTCAGCAAAAACGTATTTCACCATCAATACCATTGCATTTTCTATTATACCAAACTTATGTCATTGACATATAGTTGTTTTTCGCTTCGTTAGGTTATTCAACAAGGAATTTTGATACGTATTAATATCTATAGAGTTTCGTTAACATTTGAGCTTTCGTATTTTCCTGTCACACATTGCATGCTTCCAAAACTTAAAGCACCAACACTCTGAAATTAACAGAATAACTGGATAACAAGAATTCAAATCGAGGCTCTGATCATGATTAGCTTTGTTTCTTTTTTCTCACTTAAAATAAGGGTGCGTATCATTCAACGATGGTTTACACCAGCAATGACGTCGCGGACATCATCGAATTCGCACGACTTCGTGGAATACGCGTGATACCAGAGTTCGATACACCAGGTGTATATTTATATATATTTCATATGATTTTACTGTCAATATCAAGATGTATTATCAGGTCGTCGGAGAAAAGTCAAGATATCTTTTTGTCAATCACTGTTTTAAGAAATTAATTCAAATAATGGATATTATTTTGAAATAAATTATTCAAACAAGCAAAAGAAAACTTATCTTTCCGGCTGAATTTCAAACATGAAATTGGCATTGGCATGAAATTTTGATATCGTTCTTGTGTGAATTAGTATTTGAAAGTTTGTATTTATATAGATGTATTCACAAATGGATAATTTATTCGTTACTTGATATCGTACATGGAATGGTATGATCGTTAAGAATCCCGTAGTATTTCCGGCCTGGAGTTCTCAGGAAAAACAAAACTTTGACGTACGCCTTGCTAGAGTAATCAGTCTTCATTTTTTCTGTACAAGGGAAGTAATGATACTAACACTAGCTCATTTAGTGTTAGATATATCTCCAAAGGAACAAATCCTTTTCAATTCATTTTGCAGGTCTTAACTATATGATTGCGATCATGTGGTATCCGACAACAGTCTTGCACTTTTAAATAGCAGTACATCTGAGACGATTTGACAACAAGTCTGTTGTCTATTGTCGTTCAAACGGGTTTTGTATATATGGCTTTCTTTCATCTAAAACATACAATTTGCATTTTATTCTAATATATTGATATTTTTTCCATAAAGGTCATACGTATTCGTGGGGATTTTACAATCCCGATCTGTTGACCCAGTGTTACCCCGGGAAATCAGAGGCTGTACCGGGTTACCTTGGACCCATGGATCCCTCCAATGAACATTTGTATTCTTTTCTAACCGAATTTTTCAAGGAGGTGCTTACATTGTTTAAAGATCCTTACATCCACTTAGGAAATGATGAAGTTTTCAAGGAATGTTGGTATGTACTTACGTTCGTAGTTATCAGAATCGTTTCATAAAAAAAGAAAAAAGAAACAAAACTAAAACTATTTTGAGAGATGCTTTAAAATGCGTCAAAGGTGTTTCAACAATATTGAATAAAAGGTACCCACGGAGGTCTTTCAGGATTTTTTATCATTAAGACTGACAAGTCAGTCCGTCCCCTACAAACAGGATTTATAACAGTGTGAAAAGTTTGAGATGCAAGCAAGTCTTTTTTACACTCGGTGCTCGAAGGTATTTAAATCATCCATGTATGTTCTTTAATTTGGGATGTATTCAATATCTTGACAAGAACATGACATTATAACAAATAAAAGTCATTATGAGATTTAACTATTCATTTAATGTTTGGAGTTCTTTATTTCAAATGAATTATTAATCTATTAATAGTATCCCTCTCTTCGCAGCCTTTGTTATTGCCATATGTATATTTCCAATCAGTCTGTTCGATACCAATATGGCTGTTTCTGTCTCATTGCTTATATTTTATTAAAAATTCGTTTTGTGCTTTTTTCTCGTGTGTTTTTCATCCAGGGCATCAAATCCTAAGGTCATAAATTTATTCCGTAGACTTTACCTAGAGGAGGGAATGGAGAATATAAAGGCGACGGAGAGCAGACAAAACTCAACAGTAGACATCGATATGCGGTTGGTTGCCCTTTACCTGATTAGTAGTAATTAGTACTATGAGCATCTATGCGAGAATATCATTTCAGCATGATGGTCCAAATTGAGTATCTATAAATGGAGAATTAAACCCATTATCCCTCATTGACGAAAACTTAAGAAAAACAAAACGAAGAAACGAATACTGCAGCTCCTGTTTCTTTCAGTTTAATTAGAAATATGGCGATTACGATCTACATCTGCCATCATTAATGTAAAAACAAAGTTGGAAGCTTTCATTACTCGTCTTTCAAAACCTTTTCGTGCTGCGACATTAAGTCATCTGAAATCTCACGATATTTGAACGAGGTTTAATTTCACGACACGAGATTCAAAGGAGGGAAATAACTTTTTCCGCAAAAGTTATATCTCTTATTGACGCCTTGTAAAAATGAGTTCATAATCGTTTTAATTAAGATTCTAAATCTTAAATATCTTCAAAAGTAGACGGAACACTTTCAAACCTGTTACGTTGTACAAGTATATTCTCTATAGATCAACTTATACAGATACTGTTAAATCATTAAGTATTGTTGGGCTTTCATTTTCATTGATTTTGTGGATATTCTTCATTACGAATTCAGGAATAAAGCTTGTTTTATTCATTTTAGTATCAATTGATTTCATGAGTGAAATCAAATGTCAACGAATTAATCAGAATTTTGAAAAACTACTAAATTTGAGCCTCAAAGAAGCAAATATATGTATATATTCATAGAAACACTTCTATGCCAGCCGTGAGGACCAGGATCTGCAAAATTTCTCAAATTGCTTTAGCGGTCACAATTTGATTACAAAACTCAAAAAGAATTTTTAGAACTTTTGTTGGATCTTTGTAGATTTTCTTAACACAAATCGACGAAAACTTAATTTCATAATGACATCAATTTGTTTTATATTCACTTCTACCATTTTATAGATTACTTAACAGGACTTTACGTACCATGACAGTGGAAAATCAAGACCAGTTGTTACCAAAATATGTATGGGAATACTTTCTGAAAAGGTTAGTTTTCAAATGTTTATTATTACAATGAGTTTAATTCAGGACCATTTTCTTGTTGTGTCGAACTACACACACCTAAAGATTTAACATACAACTTGTAAAATTGATTTATCATTTAAATATTTTGGATAAATTTTCATATAGAATCCTATGAAAATATTCTACAAAACACCAGTCAAGTATACACTAAAACAAGGGACCAAAGTTATTGATCGTACGGTCTTTGCAAAAACAACAGTGCAAAAATGTACCTTGCTTATTTCGCCATCCCCTTAGCAAGGCTGAAAAATCTACGGAATACATTAATGTTATCTATCATTCTTATGAATGATGTTTAGCTCAATACGATCATATAAAGACATAAAACTTATCAAGTCTTAAACATCCATAAACATCGCTTTTAAAAACATAATTTCAACAGAAATTGTTTGGAATTTCACGTCATGGCGACAGCTTGTCATTATGCTATGAAAATTGTTATCTACCAATATAGGATGCAAAAAGTGTTCAAGAAGTTGCAAAATGTCCGAGAAGAAAAACTGGACTTTATTATGTGGGAGGATGCCCTTCATGAAAACGTAAAGGTAACAAAATTGGCAATTTCGTCAATCACAGTGTATTACTGTATATTTTTTCCCGATGGTTCAGATTAGAAAACATAAAATTTACAATTTTCATCCTTAATTATTTCATATTTCTAGGTATCTGTGGTATCTAAGCGATTTTCATTCATCTTTGAAAAATAGTGAAATGTAAATCCCGCAAAAATAACATCCTTTACAGTAATCTATGCTAATAAAGAAGAAGAACACTCACCTAGTTATTTTTCATTGTTTTGACTTTTTAGATCCCAAAGGACACCATTATCCAGGTGTGGCGAACAAACGAATATACGAGACAAATTTTGTTGAAAGGTTACCGTGTTATATACTCGTACTGTTGGTACCTCGATAGAGTGGATCCCGGCGTTCACTGGCACAAGTTTTATCAGTGTGATCCTTACGGTATGTATATGTCTCTGCAATAACTGATGGGGAAATCAGAAAAAAAAAACTTTATTAAAAATTAATTTTTTCTGAAGAATTCCAAGATTGTTTACGTGCATTTGACTGTGATGACAGTTTGGATACTTTTTACTTTTGGCGCATCATCCATTCTTTCATACTGCTTTGAATGTTGTCTACTTTGAAACTTTTAAACTATTCTTTAAAGAAGTAAAGTCGTCATCAATACCTGCTTTCGATATTTTAAAGTCAGTATTAGCCACAAATGAGGACTCGTTAATTAAAAGGTCATCAGTAACTTTACATAAATACTTACCAATAATTTACAAAAGATGGGTGCCACTTTTGCTGTAAGAACTGATTGACTTTCTGAACTTTTTGTTATTTGTATGCTGACTTTAGAGGTGATTTGTGTCCTTTATACCACACCCATTTACTCGTTAGAAAAGAAAGAAATCAACAACTCATGAACTGTCTTGCTGCCATCTATTTGTAACCAACATCACGCCCCTGTTTAAACCATGAAATTGTTTGCAATAAACCTACCCAGGGGGAAAAATTATTCATAAAATGGGGGAAATTTAGCATCTCTTCTTTTTTCAGTCAGGACGTTCATGTTTATGTTTTTCTTAAATAGTAACTAAGATATCAGTTTCTATTTTTAGGTTCACTAATTTTGTATACTGCAGGTAATGGTCGATATGCGAATGACAAGTCCATCATCGGAGGAGAAGTATGTATGTGGGGAGAGTACATGTCCAGCGAAATGTTGATGAAATGGCTCTGGTAGGTAAATACATGTTACATGCATCTAGGGTGATTGAAAAGTTGTTAGTATAATGTATATGTTCAGTTAAGCAAATTTTATTGACAAGACTGCATAGTCAATTGGATCGAACAAAATGCAAATGCTATCGTCAAAAGCCGACGTAAACAATGAGTAATAGATAGATAATTAGTTGTATGACATGATTTCAGATCTTTCTGAAATGAAAACTCAATGTAGAAAACTAAGATTAAATAATGGAACAGGGGAAGTAACTCGTGATGAAAATAAATCAAACACCCCATATACATTGACTCATACATAAAGCGCGCAAATTTAGGACCATCAAAAATGTATTTATCAAATCCCTGATAAAATTTGTGTGACACAAACTCACCTAAACAACAGCAAAATGTGTGGTGCGTTATTACACTATACAGCTATACATTGTACATTCTATAAATAATTTTACTGTGTAGGCGGCGTGTAAACCAAGATGTTCATGTTAGGATACATTATTTAGGAAATCAACATTTACCAAATGAATTGTGGTGACAGATTTTACAAAACAAATATATAATTAATACTGATATTTTACTAGATGTAGTTTATGTCATTATTTGGCTCTATAGTGTATTAAATTTGCACAACGGCTTTATTAACTTGTGTGTCTTTTGTTCCGTGTACAGGATTGTAGTTGATAGACACTACTGGTGGACTTAAATCCCCGCGATTGACCGCAACCTCCAAGTCACGTTTTAATTAATTTGAATAATGCCATGTTTTACATATTATGTACTTAATTAGTACATTATTTTATGATTATCTAATATATGAGAAATTATCGAATTATGTGGGCTAATGAATCTGTTCATCGAAATTTTGAAATTGTTTTCGATTATCTTTTTCTTTATATCCAAATGTGCTACTATTCATATGTGTCTTTCGTTCAATCTTTGATAGGCCTCGTGGATCCGCCGCAGCAGAGCGTCTTTGGAGCAGAAGAGAGGACACCTTCGATCTATTCTATGCCGCTAGAAGATTAGAAGAGCACAGGTGTCGTATGCTCAGGTAACATAGATATATACCTATGAAGTAATGTGATGTTTTTACATGCTTGAGTAAAATATATAAGTGTGTTGAACTCGTGCATCAAAGTGTGCTTCAATAGCATACTTTTTTTCTCTTTCATTATAACAGTCAAGTATGATAAATCACAAATTATAATGTCACAACATCAAACAGCCGTGGTAAGTAATTTGTAGACAAAAAAATGCTCGTCACATATATTTAGTTTAAAACAAGACATTACTGCGAAACAAAGGTTAAGATGTTAAATGTTTAAATTTTGGATGCCTCTCCAGAATTGTGGAAATTGTTTACGCTTAAAAAAATTTTAATTGATATGTAACATAAGTCCGTACTTGATTATCCATGTTTTAAATCGTAATATATATGGGATATAAAGAATTCCAATGGCACTTACGTTATTAGTGGGTTATAACATCTGTTTGATCAAATTTAGGAGAGGCCTCGACACTGGTTTCGCCAACGGTCCTGAATTCTGTCTGAGGAATACCAAGCGTAAATCACGTGATAGAAACCATGACACATATCCATCAGCCAATCAGAACTCTGTTTTCCAACATCCAGTGAAATCTCGTGTACTAGCGATTCCATGGAATTCAGACAGAGAGGTATAAAAATTTCTGACGTCATTGATTTTTGTTTGGTCAATCATTAACTTAAATCATCTCTGTTCGGAAATCTTTAATATTTTTTATTATAACGTGTTTATTGTATTTCAGGTGATGTACCTTTTCTATCTGACGTCAGCATCGGTGTTGTTTGTGGTATTCCTGATATATTCACAAGGAAAGAGGAGACTTCTTAAGTGTCGATAGTGCACTTTAATTTAACTAGAAATGTGAAAAAACAATCTCATGTACCGCGAAAAATGACCAAATGGTCAAATAATGTTTATTATGTAAAAATTACACCACATTATTGTCTTGTTTTATTTTAGACAATAAAGAAAGGATATCGAAATGTTTGGGTATTTGAAGTTTGTTGTTGAATCACACCATCAGAATTTTAACAAGGGATCTGAGAGCACATCGCCTCTATGTATATAATCAGTAAATACGTTATCTCCTTTCTATGGACATTTCTACGTTTGGATAAAGTATATCCCATTACATATTTTTATTTCATGATTAAATCAATTAAATTGTATATAATATTCCATCGAAGTGATTTATGTTATAAACAGGGCGATACACAAAGCTACACACATTTCAACTTAAAAAATATTTAGTTGTTACATCCCATAAGATAACAAGGTGGTTACCGTCGTTGTATATCGAGTTAATTGTACCCTGGATAACATTTTAACATCAACTACCTTGGATATTATTCCAGTGTGTATTGAGAGGTTTAAAGGATTAAATATGAGATAAAATAAAAAGAAAATAACAATACATGATTATTCCGATATTTCCATTTCAAGATATCTTGAATATATTTTCAGTGTCCTGATTGATTTTTTTTCAACTTTTGATCTGCACGTTATTTCATTTAATTTGTATATACGAGAGTAGTAATGACACCCAGTTTAGATATGATCCATACTAAATCGGAGATATTTCAGCGATCAGTCAAAGTTAACATCTGTGTTATTGTAGACTTCATGAAGCATACATGTAGGTTTCTCACCATCCCCAATCCACTGATACAAGGTCGGGCACATTAGAATAATGAAGGTATCGTGAATTACTCAATGCTAAGAATATATAATTTCAGAAAACAGGGATAAAAAATTCTTCAGAGGATAACACAGTGAGTTACGTATAAAGTAATAATTCAATATTGCTGATTCTATATTTAACCATTAACACGAAAAAGCAAAATATCTCGAAGTAAACTCGGTATTCTATTCCTCGAATTCATGTGATAAGGAAAGAGATCGCCTGCCCAGCCACGTGAATTCGCCGGTTTCCTCCTCCAATACGACCCCTCACGCGCGTACTCCCGGGCCAAGGAGAATGACTAGGAGAAATGGAAGAATTTTTTTCTCCAAATTGTTATAAAATAAATACAGTTTATAGTAACTTATATAATAACTTTATGGTGTTTCTTTTAATATGTCGTTGCTTCAATAAAGACAAACTTCATACTGCATTACCTTTACCTAAAGGTAGAAAATATTAAGCTCTGAAGGACATCCCTATTTATTTGTTATTGTGTATAGAATATTCAAGTACAGTTCCTAGATATAATACTGTTCAGTATTCAAAATAAATAATTTTATTATCATTGTATATTTAATTGTAACATTATAACGTTTGCTGACCACCAAAGGAACAGAAATAACAGTTGTACATTGTCTCATCTAAATTTTGATATTTATTTCTATTTTGATTATTCTCAGACGTCTCATAGACATCACAAGTTAGGGATCAATTACGGATCCTTGAATGGCGAAACCGATGTACGATACAGTTAAATTATAAGTTTTGACTCAATTATTTCTTATTCTTGTATTCATGGGTTTGTCAGCTCTTGATTTTAAAAAGTAGTGATTTTAAGACTAGTACATCAAAGCAAGATCTAACGATACTTTCTTTTTTGGTTATCAGTCATTGAAGAGTACAATTTAGCACAGATACTAAATTAACAGAATATATCAATATATCATATATTTGGGGGGTTTTCTCTCAAAAGTTAACATTTTATGTAGGAAATATGAGTTATGATATATATCAGTAACAGATAAATAGAAGGCAGTCGAGAATTGCCGTCAGTATTCAACGAGTTGCTCCGTAGATATATAAACGTCTCTGTTCTGTATTGAATGTCTTATAATGAAATTGAATCTTTGATCTTATTATTAATTTTCAAAGAAACATGTAGCTTTAGTTATGATGAAAATCCACCTACATATTCTCGAGAATACCTGTTTTTCAAAAACCGAAATTCCTGCATGTTTGACAACCACACCCGCAATCACTAAGGTAACGCATATAGGTGTGACGATATTACGTGATCACTTCACAAACTTAGGTTTCGACGCATTATGCCCAAAGAAGTAATACAAATCCGAAATGAATATGGAATATCAAATAGTTCTTAAAAACATAATCTCCAATATTTTAATTCCTAAACATAAATGAGTGTTATTAAGCAATTAAAACATCTGACAGGACTACGATTTTTTGACATTCATCAGCACTAATTCTTAATTCCGTATTAATTCATATTTCATTGAGCACGTGCAAGCTTTAACACTTGGTTTGCATATTAATTAACTTGAAGGTCATACCTTAACATTTCCCGGGCAACATCGGTACCAAGTATATGTATAAATACGCTTGTAGATCCGTCTCAGATGCACACTTCAATATCAACTGAACACTTGGAGTCTTCACATCGAAAGCGTCAACATGATGCAGATGGCCACTGTATATGTGTTTTTAGCAGGATTTTTGTTCATTGGGACTCAGGGCCTTTCCTATTTGGACGCTCACAACAAGTACCGAAAAATGGAGGGTGTTCCGTCAATGGTTTGTAAAATTGATTTACCTAAGTTCAATTTGGTTAACTTGTTTCTGTAGGAAAGATGATATTACATACATCATTCATAAATTTTCAAATCTATGAAGAAGGTTGCTCAGTTATTTCATCATATTAGGGTGATCACATTCCTAAGTTTTAATATGATCTGATTAATTTTGGATACACGTTATATTTTAGAAATACGATAAAGCTATTGAACAAAATGCTGCGAAACACGCCAGTAAATGCCTGTGGAAACATAGCAGTCAAACGGAGAGACAGCAAACTCCTGGATACAGCTACCTAGGGGAGAATTTGTTCCTTCAATGGGGTTCGGGTAAGAATTATAGCAAATTATTGTATAAATGTATATGCTAGAAGAGTCGTATTAGCCATCAAACTGTCTTGTTACAGCATTTATGATAGTTATGCATGACAGAGTTTTGCAAGCAAACATCATTTTGTCTTAAATATCATAATAAAACAGTTAGATTCGTGTTTTTATATTCCTTGTGCATGTTTCTGTCTTATGCAGATAAGATCTTAATTAAATTTGAAATAAACTTTACGTTAACGACAATGATATCCGACAAGTGTAACATCCATAATGACGACCTACAATTGTGATAATGTAATGGTCACGCACCGAGTGTCATGTATCACGCATGAAATCACACGTCATTCTGGCTAGTTTATAATGATGTATAGCCAGGCAATAGTAAATAACTATCTATATTGAAACATTTCTCCCTAATTCATTTATGTATTGCTAATAGATAAATCATGCCATATGATTTTAATGCATAAACCAAAAAAAAAAAAGATTATTGTCAAAACTTGTTTCTTTTTCAAGATAATAGTCTGTTAGTCAAACCTGGATTTTTCGCCATGCCTCCTTATCTAATCACAGTAAAATATTAAATATTTTAGCAAAATGTGGAGCTTTTTCAATATCAGCTACTTGTCTGAGGGATGCATTATATGTTTTAATAAATACCGAAATACAGGTTACAGACAGAAAGAAGAAAGTGTTTTACTATTCCTTCAATAAGAAATATCATTGACTAGGTTTTATTGGCAACATTGAAAATGTTATAATATACATCATGTTCAAGAAAATATTAACATTAATACTTTTCCACACAATTTTTTAAACAAAGTATAATACTTGAAGAATTGTTTTCATCATAGGATCTGTCGCGTCGGCTGACTACGTGGTGGGACAGTGGTACGATGAAAAAAAGGATTACGATAGAGCAAGCTTATCTTGTACACCAGGAAAAGTGTGTGGTCATTACACTCAGGTATCGTATTTATTTATTAACGTTAATTTTATTTTGCTTTTTTAAAAATTCTATATAGTTTTGTGTGCTTTTTCCTATGTATTTGTTCATTTAGTCTCTGAATGATAATTAAGCCTCAACATTTATTGAAAAGTAGTCACGTGGTATTGCAGTAGACGATGCGCTTGCTTTTAGTTCAAAGCACCTGATCTAATAATGTTAAAAAATAAGTAGCTATTGTCATGAAAACGAGTTGTGATGTTATTGATATTTGTGATAACTTGAAAATTACGATATTTATTAAGTTATGTGCATCTTCCAATGTATATTTTGACACTTCTGTCTATTACGTTTGAATTTCCTCGGTCGTTTCCTTAGCTTCAAAATTTAGGCCCTTAGAATCATTGACGGTTCCTAGAAGAACGAAACAGCTGTATGCTGCAGTTTAATTAATTGTCTGACTCTACTTTGTCTAAACTCTGACTTTATATTTGAATGTGCTATAACTAGTGTGTCCTTTGTGCAGTATTCTACTCTAAATGTGTAAGGCTTGTATTCTTATAAACATTCGTATTTTGATTTACAATTACAAAAATGTACTCCATTTGGATATTAAGAGTATGTTTTCAATGCAAGAGTGGAATCAGTTTTTGTTCTGTCCGATTACTAGAAAAAATTGCCAGTCCGCAAATAATTAATAATCCTAATTATCAATATGAACATTTTCAGTTTAACTTTAAGATCCATCTGTATATGTATTCTAGTATTTATACCTAAAATACTTATAATGATGTTCTTAAGTGAGAAATAATGGTTTGAGTTTACGACGTGACATGAAGCATTCCGAAGTACAATCAATAAAAATCCAGATAGTCATTTCTGGTTGAAGACAGAAATGTCACTATCGATAAAAGTAGCAATAATTAAAACAAAAACAAGAAAATACCAACAGATCAACATAATCATATCTCAAACTCAAATGTAACAACACTTAAGGAAAATATAAACAACAGAAAGATTAACACGAAGACTTTTGAAAAAGTCCCAGATGTTCCGGAAGGGCAAGAATCTTTTGCTTACTTACGACACCTGCCATGTAAATGATCTGAAATCGGTTGGGTTTTGTAATGTTTAGTACTTACATAAATGTTAACATCAGATTCTTAACTGTGATGTCCTTAATTATTAGGTGGTATGGGCTAAGTCCACGGCAGTAGGATGTGCTGTCCAAACGTGTGCCACAATGGTAGTGAACGGACGTCAATACAGCAACGCAATTTTTGTCGTGTGTCAGTACGGACCAGGGTAAGAAACAAAGTTTATGCTTAGTGCTTTTTTCAAAATTTAATTCCAAAGATTGATTTCTTTCATCCATTTTTAAAAGTTCATTCTTTCCTTTTTATTTATCATTTAAATTTATATTCATTCGTTCATTATTCATTCATTCATTCATTTTCTTCTTTTTATTTTTTCTAATTTTTTTTCTTAATTAAATGCGTGTGTGTATCAAGTAAGAATCACTTTCAATAAGATACAGAACAGTCAAGTTATGAATTATTATCATTCAATTTTTAACAAAAGAAACTTAAATATTTGGCTAAAGAGGTGCAATAGCCCGACAATGTCTTTAATTTCCAAACATGTCAAATTTGATTCGATATTCAAGAGCCTGCTCCCATTATCACGATTTTCGCGCAAGAAGTCGTCAACTGAATGACAAACTCATAACACAAGGGTTCAAAAGATTCAAGTTAATGAAAAATTTATGTTTTATGGTCGCCATTGTGATCTCATTGAGAAATACTCTAATTCTTTGTATGACACGAAACTAGATGTGTTTGATGCTCGTTAGTTTCCTGTTGGTTCTGTTGTTTTATATCTTGTTCTCATTTGAGAACGTGGCGTTAATTATTTGGCTCGACCAAAGTTTACATTCGGGTGTCGTCAATGAAGCAGAAGACGCTTTCTCTTCCGGAACATATGGTCTTAGTCTCCTCGTACTTTTTCATGATTCTCCGTGTAAATTTTTCTTTCGTTCATATTTTGCCCTAAATTTATGGAAATTAAGTTTGAATTATAATTATGTTACCATGTTGGTAATTTCTCTTTTTTCCATATGAACGTCAAATACATGTGTATATTATGAACTGTGCTATTATCAAAACGTAGCATGCAAACAAAGACAAACAAAAGGTAAACAATAACTATTAATGATATACAGTGTATATAATTATTTGTTTTAATCAGTGTTACTTTTCGACTCAATATTTACATCGATCTCTCATTATGTTGTCCTTGTTCTGGACATTCAGCAATTCATGCTAGGAATTCAGCTAAGTTCACCTACATAGTCATATGTATCTGATTAACTTTTTTTTCAATATGTCAATATTTAGTGGCAATATCAGAGGTCAAAGTCCATTTCAACAAAGAAGTTTGAACGAAAGATCCAGTACAATGACATTGCTCCGAGAAATTGCTGAAAAGCTGCGAAGAGAAACAGCGGTCGGCCACGAAATGATTGGACCAGAGGACAACATACATACCAGCGAAACAGAGGATATCGAGGAAAGTTCTGTAGAGACTGTTGACGGCCCTCCTTCATATCGACGAGAAAAACAAGCTCTTACTTCTACCATGGTAAGTTAACATTGACATAAAATGGGGAATGAGTTTAAGGTATAGAATCTTTTTCTGGTAGCTAGAGTAGATAGGACTAAGACTTTGGAATTATCACTCATTCGCAAAATTGAAAGTATTATCAATTTCAAAACTGCATTTTTCATACCATCTAAATCGGATATTAAAAATACCTCGAATGTTATGGAGGAGTCCATTCTGAAAGTAAATAATTTTAACCCCATAATGGCACCAGCTAATGATAATACTGAAATAGTAATTTTAGTAAAAAAAATTTGATAAGAAAAAAATTGTGACTGACTTATTTAATATTCCTTTCCGTATATGTCCTGTGTACTTGACCATGACGAAAGGGACGATTTCCTAGTATGATTAACAACTAACAAAAATATCCTTCATATAGTCTAAATAATTTAGAGAAACCTTAACCAGTAATATCTTCTTTACTATCAGTGTATTCTTACATCCTTGAATAAAGTATTTCTATGAAATGGATACAGCTGGTTAAGTATTAAACTGATCAACCAAGATAAGTGGAAATAAATTCAGTGTTTATATATATATAGTATGGTTACATTTTCTTCCAACAGGTCATGTGAAAAAAAAAAACTGGAACCAGGCTCGAGCCCGATTGCATCCATGTAGATAGATGTGTCACACGCACTGCACTTTTTAGCATCCTTATTGTACTTTACAACAAAAATTAAAAACAGCATATCAAAAAATGTTGTCGTGTCCTTTTTCAATGTTAGTTCGTCAAGAATTATCTGTTATGTTCATCTTTAACAATTGCTTTTAACTAGTGTGAAAACAATTCTCTGATACGTTCTTCTGTTGAACACTTAAAGTGGATTGTTCCGTGTATGCCTCCCGACATAAAATATTGACTTTGATCAATAAAAGGTTTACACGAGATGACATCCAGGTCAGGCTATTAACGCACTGATGTTAAACCCGACGGTTATCAGGTGTAAATTCTATAATTCATCTCTCAGTTTTCATTGATCTTCGAGTTATCCATAATTTACAACACTGTTATACTCCGCTTTATAAGTATTTGGCTTAAATGTTTTCAAAGATTTCTGAGCTGATTTTTCTTGTTGAAAATTACTCAAGGTATAATATCATTTCCGGGCATTGAGGAAATTTCAGCCATTGAAAACAAGCTGGAAGCTCCAGTTATCCATTTACTTGTTGTTGCCTTAGAATACAATATTATATTAACTAAAGAGATGACTTTATTGTAAGAAGTTTCATGCTATTTGCCATGACTGGTTTTATCTAAAACATAGATAAAATATGGCATTATCTGGATTGATGACGCGGCAAATTAAACACAGTAATGCAGACACAGTACACACCAAAATCAATAGATATATAGTATTTATTAACGATATAGTTAGTTATATTAATTGTAAAGTTATTTGCTGATGACACAGCCTTATATAGCATAGTTGAAAATCCCAAGATTGCTATTAATACCATCAATAATGATCTTCCAAAAATACATGTATGGGCAAATAAGTGGTTAGTAAAATTTAATCCAGACAAGACAGAATCTTTATTAAGTAGCCGAAAAACTATGCCAGGAATTTATTATCCTATCACTATGGACAGTGTCAATGTATCTAATGTAAAATCTCATAAGCATTCAGGGGTATTAATGTCTGATGATGGTACATTGAAAAACCATATTGATTACATATTGAAGAAAGTGTCTCCAAGACTAGCGGTTTTAAGAAATTTAATAAACATATTAGATGGGAATTCTCTCCAAACAATATAGTTTGCTTTTATCAGACCTATTTTGGAATATTCTGACGTAGTTTGGGATAATTTACCAAATTATTTATGTCAAAATTTAGAAAACATCCAAATAGAAGCTGGAAGAATATTTACAGGTGCTACTAAATTGTCAAGTATTAATTAATTGTACAAAGACGTGGGTTGGGGAAAACTTTCTAAAAGACGAGAAAATCATAAACTTTTTCAGTTTCATAAAATGTATCATAAGAAAACTCCATTTTACCAATCTAATACCAAGGCATCAGAAACTCATAATTAGGATAATTAAAAGATTTTTACAAAAAGATAATGTAATTATTCCTCACTATTTTAATATTGGCAGTAGAAACCTTCAAAATTTGCATACACGATTGAGGCTCAAATGTAGTAATCTCAAACAACATTTATACTTAAGAGAAATCTGGAAGAAAGTCCATTTTGTTCATGTGGGTTTGTAGAAAGTACCCACCATTTTTTAATGTCTTGTGCTAATTATAACATAATTCGACAAAATACTTTACTTCAGCTAGATATTACTCTAACTGAAAAAAACTCTATTATGGGGAAACGACACTTACAGAAAAATGAACAAATATTCTTGACCGTGCAAAATTGTATCAAGCTCAGCACTGCACATCATGTATTGTTTCATAGATCTGAAAGCAGCTTTGTAAGGTAACCTTTTTTACATACCAATGAATTAAGGCACCACTACTTAAGTTAGAAATTACATTTTGTAATTCTATCCACCACATGTGTTTAAGTTTATAGATATTATTGTTATGTGTAAATATTACTTTTTCATCCAATGTCGATATTAGGTGTTCCAGTTCCGATTTATATTTGTCTTTGTATGTACATGGGAAAGGAATTAATATAAGATTTAAGCTTGCTTTCCTATCCCATAAGATTAAATGTACCTGTCTGTAACTAAATGCTAATTATGGAATAAAATATTGTTTAAACTAACATCAACAGAGTTCGGACACAAACAATAATGGGGAACATATGAAATGGATGAGGAAGACCTTTGTAATGTTCAAAACTTATATAAACTTTGTGTAATGACGGCAACTGAATATTGAAAATGTAGAGAGTTGACTCTAGGGTAGATAACTCCATGACTCTAGGGTAGATAACTCCATCTCAAAAAGTGCAAAAACAAAGCATCACGTTTTAATGTAAAATTATATTTAGAGAGAGAAGAACCGACTAATGAAGTAAACAGTGTCATACAGTTAGGTAGAACTAGGAAGCGTTCCTTCGGAAATTGTTAGAAAAATATGTATTTTAAGTTTTGGGAAAAAAAAGAAAAAAAACCCACTCTGACAACTGTATTTTACAAACCTGTTACCAAGATCAGTTAGAAAATGCAAAGAAATGGCGATATGACAAGAAAAATGAACTTTTTAGATTGGGTAAAGGGTACATTAGGCAATAAGAAGATATTTCACATCTAAATATATTATCAACATTACCAAAACTAGACTGTTCTTTAAACAAGAGTGGAGTGATAAATTTATCTTCCAAATATAAAAATGTATCGATGAGGACATTTGCTTTCAGTATTATCTACAAACTCTGTATGAAATTCGAATTTGAAGGAAATATCAAATATCAGAATTTCATCACACAAATTGAACATTGAAATTAGGGGGTATAATAATATTAAAAGGAAATATAAAATTTTTACTTTTTGTAACCAGGGTGCATTGAAAATTTATTTCATTCTTAAACGATATGCAAATTTAAGGACTTTCAATAAGAAACAGTATTGTAATGGGTCCAGTAATGTTAACATTGATCCAACTTGCATGTATGAGATCTGTAAATAGATAAGAATTATCAAATTTTGTCAAAATGCCTAACCAGAAAAGAAACACTATAATTGTACCTAGGTTATATGTTAAATTCCTTCCTAAAATGATGGTATGTATATGGTGAGTGAGAAAGGTTGTATTTCATTGTTGTTCACTCCTGGATATGTTGTTGTTTTGAATTGATGAGCCCTAAAGCTCAGAGTAATAAAGGATTGAATTAAAAAAAAGAAGAAGAAAAAAAAAAGAAAAACAAAAAAACACACATTGGTAGTTTTTGTTTAGTATAATGAAGTAATGAAATATACTTCTTTCATTTGCGAGATCAGCACGAGTCTATGGCCAGAAAAAGGTTTAGAATATTTAATATAACCCTCTGGACTAAGAATATATCAATTATACTGCTATTGATTAAGAAAATTTAAATGGACACAGAGTATAGTTTGTTATTGAATGTTGAACATGTGAAAGTGTATATATCCAATATTAAGAAAAAAATTGCATGATTATGAACAGAGAAACAGATGAATTTGTGAATGAGGTGTCTTATGAAGTGAAATCACTTCTAAACTATCATGCCAATAAAATTTGAGCAGTATCAAAAATTCGGCAATGTTTGACAGGTGTTACCAGAATATCATCTTTGAATGAAAAGTTAACTAAAAGAGTAAAACTATATATGTTTTGCAGCTACAAACTGTAAATTTTCCCGAAAGGAATAAAGTGAAATGGATAATTTCCTTTTACATACCGTAAATTCATTCCAAAGACTAAGCTGAAAGTCCATTCCAAACAAACTCTTAACATTGTTTAATCAAAATGCTAAGCTGAAAGTCCATTCCAAACAAACTGTTAACATTGTTTATTCAAAATGCTATGCTGAAATCCATTCCAAACAAATTCTAAACATTGCTAATTCCAAAGACTAAGCTGAAATCCATTCCAAACAAATTCTAAACATTGTTCATTCAAAAGACTAAGCTGAAAGTCCATTCCAAACAAATTCTAAACATTGCTAATTCCAAAGACTAAGCTGAAATCCATTCCAAACAAATTCTAAACATTGTTCATTCAAAAGACTAAGCTGAAGGCATGTTCAAACCAACTTATACAAGTATAACTTTCCTCAGGTTTGGTGGTGAGTGTTGTGCCTTAAATGACTGCTATTTCACTGCAACAGTCAAGTCAAACTTGAAATAAAAGTTAACTATTTATATAAACTAATGTACTGTTCAACTATAACAAGACTTACTGTGTAGACTAAATGAATGCACCCTTTCCTCACCTCGAAAAAAATGTTAAACTGTATCCACAATTTAATCAGCGACGCTTGGAATGTTATGGAAACATGCCATCAGCTCTGAAGGTATTAGGGGCATTTTTTTCCATCGTTTTTCAAATTTATTGTCCCTACAATTACCAAAAAAACCTTCAGTTATTTTCTCATTGAGAAATTTTAACTTCAGGCATTCTGTGTAGATTTATAAAAGTGCAGAATATTTCGCAACTTTCCTTCCAATCAATTGCACCTATGTGAAAAAATAATTTTGGTTGCCTATAATAATAAAATGGTTTACACTTATCTACATTGTATGTTACAGCAATAACTTTGTTAACGTTTTGACAACTGTTAATCTCCAACAAAATCATTGTCTTTTATTGAAAGTGACACACCTTAATTGTGACACCTGAAACAAAAAACAATAGCTTGATGAAATGATGAATGTATTTTCTTACTACCATTCACTTCTACTCATTCCCGGTAACATCCTTTAGACATGCATACCATATATAGCTTTACAAATATTATTAATCATTCTACAACTTCATAGCATTATAAAAGAAACGAGGTATAGACCATGTATTCGCAAAACAAGGCCTAGGTGCCTACTGCTTGCTTCTAACCAAAAAACACCCTATATGTAAATGTTTGTTGATATATACATGTATGGATCGTGGGTCAGGCATTTGTGCAAAGTCCCTGAACGTCAGTATTTTTTGCTCTTTTATTAGCCAATTTGTTCTAAACAGAAATATAATATTTTGAACAAAAATAATATAATTCATCTGGATATGTTGGTATTTTATTTAGATATTTGTTAGCATGTCGACAACTACCAATCACTTAAAATGAAAGAACAATAGTTCAACGAAGCTATGCTATTACAGTCTCTGTAATACAGTAGACATGTGGTTTCTAACATGATTAGAATTACACATGTAAAGTGTGTAAATCACTAACTAATCTATGTCCGGTATAATAATTCTCATAACTAGGGACCAAAAACAAGTGCAAACACATGCATCTTTTGTGCCATCAAAGATTAACACTTGCTAGGAAAATCTTGTCATTCCAAGTAAGAACCAACACCCTATCAATTAGGAACAAGGTATTTAACAACAAAACAAACAGGCACATTATTGAGTATCTAACAAATAGAATGTTTCTGAGCAAGATTGAAATTCAGGCATGGTGATCACCGAACATATTGATGAGCATTGAACAGTCACATCTAACTTGATATCTCACCGGAAATAGAATATTTTCCAATAAAATCATGCTGGAAAAAAAATAAGTCTTTTCCAAGTATTAACTACTAGATGCAGATATGTCAACATATTTTTAAAAAATGACACTAGAGCAATGACAAATATTGTTACCTAGAAATGTAATTTAATATTGGAGAATCAAAATTCAACACAGCTTTAACTAACGGTGTACAAAGGTAACAACACTAAAGGAATCTTTTATATTTTTGTAGTTGTTTTTAATATACACAGAAGGATATGTTAACATCAAGAACATGTACAGTATACTTTTCAACGCAGTCAAAAAACAATGGACAATTCCTTAACATATAAGTTTCAGAATAAAGATCCAAGTCTCTGTCTTTCATTAAGACATACATAAAGTGGACAAGTCAACGTCACTGGCAATACCCAGTGTAAAAGCCACCCTGGTTATATTTTCCGAGTACACACGTGTCAGACTGAATGAAAAATCTGCATGTGTGTATAAAGTCATTGGTGTCAGGGTCCTAGCTTGTAGACAGTAAAGAAATCAACTTTCAGTATTGACTGTAATATGAACAAACTCTGTCGTGTGAAAGTGGAGATACAGGCAACTTTTGCCACCGACTAGGTGGCCACACTATGCGTGTTGCACGGCCATTGACCAGTGCTACTGGAACAGGTCCGAAACTGTTACTGTCCATACTAGTTTTGTAGTCACCTTCCACCCAGATCTGGCCTCGGGGTACTTTAACCTTTTTTTTCCCGTCACGGGTCCACACACTGTCGCCTTCCAAAGCCACGACCCTTTTGATCAATTTGACACTAGGGTCAGTTGGCGAAAGTAGGGACACAATTTCTCCCCTTTTAAATCGGTAGCTCCTAACTTTCCACTTATTTAGGCAAACGTAATCTGAACACTTCGAAAGATATGGGTTCAAGCAAGGTTGCATTGAATTTCCCCGAACCTCTGCAACATAGGCGATTGTGTTCAAGAACGTGACAGTTGCTGGTACTGCGAACGTCACTGTACCCATTAAATACCTCACCAAATGCATTGTCCCGTTGGTAAGTGAATGCCTTTGAATTTAGCATTACTTATGCACGCCAAGAGGGCCAGTGCGCATCAACATGTCTTCAAACGTGAGCTACTAACCACTGACATAGGAACCAGTTAATCCTACACATCACTCCTAGTTTGCATGGTGTCTTCTGAAACTATGCGAGTTTTCTCCCCTGCAATGTCGTACAATTATAAAGTCAGACTTGAGAAATTATTATAGAGCTGTCTTAATACAATATGTGTGGATTAAATCACTTGTCTTTAAATACGACTTGTTATAAATTTTGAAGTATTATGCAAAGAAACGTAATTTACGCATCACTATTAAACCAATCAGATTACGACAACTCTCCGTTCCGTGTCGAAATCGTGACGTCATCATTGAGTGTTTTGGTATGGGTGTCATTCTAGGGATTCTGTAACAAATTTCGGAGAATTGAAGAGCACAACAGGCCATTGACGTCGATATATGAATACAGTGTACATGTTCAAGACCGACTTACTAACTTGAAGGATTCTTCGTTGTGATAATACCCTGTTAAGGAAGATTTCAACACAGGCATATTATCGAGTTTCACTTGAATAACAAGTTACTTTTTGTTTTGGTTGACCTTATCGTTCGTGATTTGGTCAACTTGTTGATGATAATTTATTTAGATTCTACTTCTATAGCAAGTGTTCATCTTTCTTTGCACTTAAAGATCAATCTGTCAAAATAGGGTCTGTAATATCCTTGGTATAAAAATGGACTTGGGGGATAGTCCTATCACACTAGTTATCAAAGCTCCGAACCAGAGACTTGAAGACCAGACTGTCGAGTGTATGTTAGGATGGACGGTTAGGAAGCTGAAGAAACATCTTGAAAACGTATATCCCAGTAAACCAGTAAGTTTTGTATTAAGGGTGTTGTGTGTATCGAGTCTGCTTCACACAGTTGTCACTGAAAAATTGTTACAAAATATGTGGGACAGTGTGAGTTGTATAATATTGAATACAGTCTCTGTCACACAGCTGACGGGGCATGTTTCATTTGGGAGAGCCGGTCGATTATCACGCCAGAGAGCAGGGTTCAATTCCTGGTTGTGGTACTCAACAAGAAAGTGTAATTTCCCTGTTCTTTTACATCATGTATCGTTCTGAAATTAATGGACATCCATTCAATAAGCACATTTCTTGAATTAAACAATTATAGTTTCATATACTCTTCATTTATAAATTTGAATCGTGAAATAAAGATTTTGGGTGGTCTCCCAGCCAAGTTTAAGCAAAAGGAATGCCATATATCAGAAGATGTATGTCTACTTTGAAATTAATATTTGTCTATGGTAACGCATGACTGAATGATTGATTCAAAATACTAGCTCTTACACCAGCTGTTTAAGACATTTTAATGGATAGAGATCGATTAACTGATCATAACTAGACCTCTGTCAAAACATGGAATGTCTGGTGTTCATGACAATAAGTGTAGGAGCTTGCCTGGAGAAAACTCAAACAAGCAGTATCCTTTTTATTTGATTCAATTGAATTTTGATAATACATGTACAGCACAATCATTTTAAGATTAATATTTCTCATTGTTGATTTGGTTTGTATTTCACGTGATGTTGTGTTTAAATAAAACATTGAGTTGAACATTTGAAGTGTATGCATGATTTAGAGTTTAACACACATATTGAAAAAATTCTCTTTTTTTAACAGAAAGAAACACAACAGAAATTGATCTATTCAGGAAAGCTATTACCAGATGATGCAACATTGAAGGATGTATTGAGACAGTCACAGGTAGTAATTTCAATACTTGTATTATGTTTATTAGTGTTGTTCCAATGATTGATTATCAATGTTTAACATAAAAAGGCAACTGATTCCAGACAATTGGTTTGTAGATATCAACGTTGATGGTAGTTTTCAAAACCAGATGTACAAGTTTAACTTTCATGTTCACTAAGAGAAAACGATAGTTCTATGTCATTCATAAATACTGAATAAAATTAATAATAATAATGATATCAAATAAACATTATTTAAATTTTATTTATTGTTTATTTTGCCTAGTTTTATGTCAAAAGTCAAAAAAGTTACCGGTATTTTATTGAGTGTGTCATCCTTCGGAAGTTAAAGTGTGAAGTGCTCATGCTATAGTATACTCAGAACTCATCAGTGGGACATACAAAGCACAAGCAGTGTGCTCGTACAACTCGAGCATTCAGGCTAATATGGAAAAAAAGAAGAAAAAAACATGTAATAACCTTAACATTTTTTAAGGATAATATAGTGGTAGGCTGATTATAATTGAAAATCAATTTGTTGGCACCAATTGATTATATCCCATTTTCAAAGTTAAAATCTCAACCAATTTCCAATGCTAATATTTATACCTGCTTGTAATTAATTCTTGAAGTATGTGTATGATATATTTGTTTTTGATAACTAGTGCTTTTTTAAATAGATTACTGTAAATGCTTAAGTCAGAAGCAATAGCTGTTTATTAGAGTGCTGGTAACATTGCCTCAAGTGAGGTGTGTGGATTGAAGATCCCTATAGTCACCTCTAGTGGTTTGTGCTACCTTGGTTGTGTCCCTAGGCAAGATATTTTCATTGTTCTGGATAGCATGTGACAGGCCTCCCGTATGTTGTTCAGTGAGATAGCCACCAACTACTACAAGGAAACTCCACCTTGAAATTACTCTGGCTGTACATGGGTCAATAAACCCAGGAAACAAACAAAGTTTATCGTCACAAGCTTAGAATTAAATGGTTATGAAAGAATGTGTCATTTTGTGCACCTTATGAACTGGTATATTGTTTATCTAGTACATTATTAAATTTTAGAATTTTCTGAAGAATATCAAATATATGGAGACTGACAATGTGCAAGTTTCAACTTCAAAAATACATAATGTACACTTCTCCCTGTTCAACCTTTGTCATGTTTATTGTTTTTAGGGATGTCCATCCCAACATACAGTCCATCTAGTGTGTTCTACAGGGATGGATTTCAACCCTACACTAGAAAACAAGGTAAGTTTGTTATATAAGATCAATGACTTTCAGTTGCAATATTGATTTGGAATATTCTTGATAGAAAGAAAAAATTTACAAAATTCATGCTTTCACAGAGCACTCTATAAATCAAAACTGTTGATTATGACTGATTATTACATAAGAGAATTAAATATACTTGCTGAACATTTTGGTTGACAAATTTGATATGTGATTCAAAAAGAGAGACTATATCTTCTGTAAGAGTTATAGCCCATTGTTCACTGCTTTATAGGGATATCTCTACAGTTGAGGTAAAGGAGATCATTTCATTGAGATATTATTGTAATTATTAATGTTTGTTTGCTATGATACATGTGAGTGTCATAAGTTTGAATCTGGTCACATATTATGTCCTTTCACAACACAGTTATTGCCCTTTGTTACTTTTTGATAGTGGAGATTAACTTGATGGCAATCAGTAGATAATATAAGGTGATCCATGTTAAATGTTTTCTGTTTTGCTTAATTGATCACCTTTTTATGTTCATTTGTAGTACTATTAGACTCACATTTCTGCATGTTTTTGTCCTCTTTTTTGCCCTATTATTATTACTCTAATATGTTTACACAGCCTACAACATACCGCATGCCAGATCCCAGTTATAATTTAAATACCCCTCCAAATGTGATGAACACAACAGCATCTAGTTCAGAAGGTCTGCGTCACAGGAATCACGGCAGCACAGATACAACTCCTGGAGTGTCTCAAGGGTAGGTAACTCCATCCATTTGGTCTTTCAATAAGATTTCATTGGTCATGTAATAGAACACAAAGTAAAACAAACAAAAAAGTCTTTCTTCACATTAAATGTGATAGCTCTGGTTATTTAGCACTTAATTTCATATTGGCAAATGTCATCAACAGTTTCATCAAATCAGACATTTCAAACATCAGTATAGTTAAACCCTGTAACTAAAACTATATTTCTGACTACCAGCAACAATGTGACCATAATATATGTAAATGCATTGGGAAAAATGACTATGATTTATAGACAGTAAATGCAGTAAAATCAAATATCTTTATTGGACTGTAGTTTCTTGGTTTTTTCAAAACAAATTTCTCTTTGGTTGGCAATTGATAAGGTGTGTGGAGAGTTAGTCTTCCTATTCAGGAACTATCTGTAATTAAACAATGAATTATTTTAACATGATAGATTGATGATTGCCAGGTTGAATAATGTTTGTGTACATGTGATAGGAGGGTGAGTACATGTTGTAAATGTACATGTACATGATTCTTGGTCATTAAAATGTTTGTATATCTAAAGAATGATGTGTATGTTCAATGTGTATGTGCATGTAGCTTGAAAGTATGAACAGTGTGAATGATGTGTGTGAAGAATGAGCACCCTCGTGTGACAGTATGAATGAAGTATGTGGAGAATGAGCGCCCTCCTGTGACAGTGTGAAGGATGTGTGTGGAGAATGTGAGCCCTCCTGTGACAGTGTGAATGGCATGTGTGGAGAATGAGAGCCCTCATGTGACAGTGAATGATGTATGTGGAAAATGAGAGCCCTCCTGTGACACTGTGAATGATGTATGTGGAGAATGAGAGCCCTCCTGTGACAGTGTGAATGATTAGTGTGGAGAATGAGAGCCCTCCTGTGACAGTGTGAATGATGTATGTGGAGAATGAGAGCCCTCCTGTGACAGTGTGAATGATTAGTGTGGAGAATGAGAGCCCTCCGGTGACAGTGTGATTGACATGTGTTGAGAATGAGAGCCCTCCTGTGCCAGTGTGAATGATGTGTGTGGAGAATGAGAGCCCTCCTGTGCCAGTGTGAATGATGTTTGTGGAGAATGAGTGCCCTCCTTTGACAGTGTGAATGATGTATGTGGAGAATGAGAGCCCTCCTGAGACAGTGTGAATGATGTGTGTGGAGAATGAGAGCCCTCCTGTGACATTGTGAATGATGTGTGTGGAGAATGAGAGCCCTCCTGTGACAGTGTGAATGATATGTGTGGAGAATGAGAGCCCTCCTGTGACAGTGTGATTGATGTATGTGGAGAATGAGAGTCCTCCTGTGACAGTATGAATGATGTGTGTGGAAAATGAGAGCCCTCCTGTGACAGTGTGAATGATGTGTGTGGAGAATGAAAGCCCTCCTGTGACAGTGTGATTGATGTGTGTGGAGAATGAGAGCCTTCCTGTGACACTGTGAATGATGTATGTGGAGAGTGAGAGCCCTCCTGTGACAGTGTGATTGATGTATGTGGAGAGTGAGAGCCCTCCTGTGAGAGGACAAGTTTTGCTATGTTGTATATGTATCTTAGTAAATAAAATGCTTTTTAAAAAAAATGGTTAAAATAAAACCCTTACAAAAAGCAATTACTTTAGAGTATTGCAGGGACAATAGCTTGTTTTATGATTATGTAATTAAGTAAACCTCTTTGATGATGTCAGCTTAACATTAATTCCATTGACTTTCATTTCTATTGCAGTGGGATACCTCAGGCAAACTTACAGATGCCCCAGATGCAACAGATGGCCCAGATGATGATGCCTCCTGGTGCAGAAGCCTTTTATACACAGGAGCAGATGATGATGATGATGCACAATTACTACTACCAAATGGCAACAGCGCAGTACATGCAATAGTAAGATACATTTATCAATGTCTAATTATTTCCTTTTATAGATTTATGAGAACATGTGTCCTCTTGCCTCAAAGTTGTTCACAGGAAAGTGTGTAAAATGATATTGATATTGTTTTTATTTTGACAAATTTGGTCAAACAAATGAAATTATTTATGTTTCCCAATTATTCAACCACTTTGAAATATCTTAAATTAGATATGAAATGCATAAATGCTTTAACTTTCAACATACATTTTTGTACATGATATAGTATTTACTCTGCCTTGAGAAAAGCCTACATAAGTCTTTTATACAGGGTATTTTGCATTGGAATGACACAAGGTTTACCAACTAGTATGAAGTGTTTTAAGTGTGACATTTGTAATATATGTCATCCAGGATGTGTCCATAACAAAAGTCATTAATACGGGTATAGAAAATCTACAAGTCTCATTGAAAATGGCTGCTCCACTTGACAAATTATACTTTTCAGTAATGAGTTGTTTATCTTAGATTAAAACATAGGCAATAACATAGATAAGGGATGTAAACATGAAAAATTCTCTTGTTATGGCACTTATGATCATTATAAACCACTAAGTTTTACAAAGCTTGGTCATCTGTAACCACCATAATTGTTATATCACCACAGTGCTGAAGTACAATATAGAATGCAGTTAATCAGAGATATTGTTAAAACAGCTTCTTAGGTGATTTGACCTGTAGTCTAATTGATATCAATTTCATACAGCTACCAGACAGGTTTATACCCTACCCCTCCTAACACACCTACAACACCATTGGAGGACACAACACCCAATCAGAATGATCTTAACAACCAGGCTCCAGCTAATGGTGGCGATGGTAATGGAAATAATTTGGTGATGAATGCCCAAGGTGGGATGATGGCTGCCGATGATGATGACGAGGATTTCGGACAAAGGGATTGGCTTGACTATGTGCACACCTTGGCTCGCTTTGCTGTACTCATAAGCATTGTCTACTTCTACTCCAACTTTACACGTTTCCTGATTGTCTTTGCTTTCTTTTTCCTCATTTATTTGTAAGTGGAATTTTTTGTTTTAAATATTTGTGTGTTGAGAAGCTGTTGAGATGTATGTTACTTTTGTAGTTCTCAGTGTTTGTTGTTATACTCACAAACAGCTCAGTAATGATCTTCTTGATTTTGATCCTATATATATATATATCATAATATTTGGATGTTTTTTTGCATCATTTTTGTAATTAATCAAATAGATAAAAGATTGATAAGTTTAAATATTACAAAAGGTCAGCAACTTGATTGTGTCCTATTGAATATTTGACTGATGTCTGATGTTGGTCCAACGTTTTACAGAGTACAGAACATAGAATCATCATTAAAATAGGTAAAACCTGGAGGATATTCAGTACACACAAATATTTTTTTTCTGAATAGTGATTTATTTGATATTTAAACAATTTTCTAAAATTCTGATGTCACATTTAAATAAATTTTGTCCTGGTTTAGAGGCCTTTGGTTTCCAATAGTGATTGTCTTTGTCCTGTTTTACGTGTAAAGTTTGAAAATGGTTTTTCTTATAAACTTGATAGATATCAGACTGGCTGGTTCCAGCTTGCAAGGAGAGTTCCTGAAAATCAGCAGGAAGTGAATGCCCAACAACAGGAGCAACAGCCAACGGAAAATCAGGAGGAGGAACAACAACAGGTTAGAGATACTGGGTTGTCAACAGATTTCTTTGTTCTGATTGGACAAATGTTTAAGGAGACTTTTTAACGTACCAGGTCCAAAGCGCATGCATCGTCTGTGCGTCGTCTGACAACTTTTACTATATATTGCAACTATTCATAAACAAATAAAATTTGGTCTGAAGGATGCTTTGGGGAAAGGGAAACCAATTTTGTGTAAATGGTGGGTCTGGCCAACCGGGGGTCTGAGGGGTAGGGTGGGGCCCATACGGAAAAGCTATCAATTTCTTTAAAATAAATCTTTTTCTTTAGGAATTGCAGGATATTGTCCAAAATTTGTCTGAAGCCTGCTTTGGTAAAATTAATTCAGTTTTGTATAAACGGTGGGTCTCGGCCCCCTGGGGCCAGTTGGGTGGGGCTCATAGGGAAAAGCTATTAGTTAAAATTTATCCCATTCTTCAGGAATTATAGGATATTTTCCAGAATTGGTCTGAAGCATGCATGGGTGACTGTAAATCAGTTTTGTTTAAACCTTCAGTCTCAGCCCCCTGGGGCCAGAGTGGCAGGGCCCAACAGAAAAAATCTATGAATTTCTTAAAAATCTATCTTGTTCTTCAGGAATTGCAGGATATTGTCCATATTTAGTCTAAAGCATGCTAGGGTGAAGGAAAATCAGTTTTGTATAACGTGGGTTTCGGCCCCCATAGGCCAGATGGGTGGGGCACAACAGGGAAAATCTAACCCCAACAAAATTTTGTTAATTTCCTTACCAATGCTTTGCATGATGAACAATTCATTTGGATCATTGGTTGTTTGAAAAAGCTCTTATCTCCACTGAATAACTATAGCATTGCTGTGCATCAGGAGAAAAACACAATCATAACTGATTAATTATCCTGGGGTTTGGTCCACCCCAGGACAGATTATATCTTTGAAGCCATTGAGATTATCATCCCATAACTTAATAGCTTAATATCTCGACATCAAGAGATTAACAACTGATCTCTGTCCCCATCCCTAGGGAATTCGAAGCTGTATCTGTGGGGGTGAGGATTATCAGGGGAAAAGAAATGTAAAGTTTTGTATTATTGACTTCCATATCTCGATGAGTGATACAGGTCCTGCGGGCCTCTTGTTATAAGGGGATAAACCACAAAGCTGTTAATCTGCACATTCAAAATCTCAGAATGCTTTATTTTCTATAAGTTTCTTGCTCTGATAGGCGAAGTTTAAGGAGATTTTATATTACACAAATGTATACTAAACAGCCATTAGTTTACTTGATGAGAATTGCGACAGAAGATGTACAGCGTGATATTTGCAATGTACAATACTCCAAATGTACTGTTTTCAATTTCTGTATTTTCATTTTTTGCAATTCCATTGTCTTAGAAATGAATATAGCTTACATGTACCAGTGTAAATTGTAACTTCAACTGCAGAAATGGAAACAGATCAGTACTATTAAATAAGAGATTTGCTAGTGTGTATTAGAAGAAGTATTTAGGAGAAGTATTCCTGCTTAAGAAAGTGATGAAGTATATGTAGGTATGTCATGTTATCTAATCTGTATGTACTCATGCATTTACAGAAAAAATCCAAACAGGGAAATAACTATAGATAAAAATCCCAGTTTCTTTTGCAATTTTGACATGGGCGCTAAAGTCTCAAAGTTTTATTAAGCAACAAATTCCTAATATGTGTTCGCCTGGGTTTCATATTTTGTATAAAAACAATACACTGAAGTGCTTTGTTACATTTATCAATTACTTAAGAAACGACATCAGAAAATTCAAAACTAACAAGAAAGATTACATCTCGTATTGAATCCAGAAATAGATGATTTACTTGTCGTGCAAATCATTTTCTTTTCCTCTGTAGATGTTTTATAATTTTCGAGGATTTATTAATTACCCTATTTCGATGTTGAACTAAAATTGCAATAACAGGTACCTTAAAGTCATTCAATTAATGGAGAAAAGATAGTCCATTTATGACTTTCTTGAATAAATTACATCCATTTTTCTGAAGGCCTTTGGCTAAACTGTGAGAATAATAACTATCAGTAAAAACAACCTTTATGGTATTGTGTAAGAAACAGATACAGTTTAGGTCAAGTCTAACTATGTTATGCTACATATTTTCACAGGTAAATCCAGAAACAGATGAAAGACCTGCAGGGGAGAATCCATCAGAAGAAGAGAGACCAACCTCTCCTGAACAACCGCCTCCAAGGGAAAGTGTCATAGCTATTATCTGGTGCTTTATATCAACATTTTTTACGTCCTTAATACCACAGCCACCTCAAGCCGTCAACGCAAATTAACAGCAACTTTATTTTTATTGATTCATTACAGACCACATCCTTGGTGTTACAAGTGAATTAGCACCATGTTGAATAGTATACATAAATTTTTAAGCAGTGTTATTTTTCAACGACAACTCAAAAATTAATAGCTTATTTGATATCACCATGTTCCTAATGGTCACAAAGTTGTTTAAACCCTGTGCAGGTACCTGTATGTGTTTATAGACAAAGTATCGAAATTTCAAATAGTTAAATCCATGAAAGATAGAATGTTGGTGTAAAATTCAATTTGTAAGGTGATTTTGAACACCCTTTGAATATTTTATTATGCAAATATTTTCAAAAAAAGATCTGTTCATATTCTTCATAAAGTCGTAGAAAATACAATATTGGTTTTTTTTCTCAGCGTGTTGGATGGAAAAATTTGGCTTAGTGAGTGTAACTTCATATATTGTGAATCACTTACATTTGGGATATATTTTCGTGTTTATATGCAGGGAGAGTCAATCACAAATTTAAATCCCTTGTCATTTGCTCTCAAATAACTCTGGATAGCATCCATGTTGATTCATAAACCAATATCAGAGTCTTGAAGAATCCAAATCTCACGAAAGTTTGCGAAATAAAATATTTGCTAAAATCAAAGTGATTAACAGTATAATATGCTTAGTAAAAAAAATTTTGTTGACTGTTGAGACTTATTGACTCCTTTTTTTTGAGTAAGCAGGTTTTACTGTCAAAAAGGTCAAAGGTTGGCTTTGATGACTGTTTAATTGGGAAAAAATTATTACACCAATCTGTCATTTCTCATTGTTTGATGTTGGTGAAGTGAGAAAGGCATATGTATGGGTTTAATTATGCCCAAGATTCATGCTTCAAATCATTAGGTTTAACGTTACAGTATCTTTTCTGCAATAAACCAATATCATGTGTATATAACCTAAGACACCATGTAGGGGGGCAGGCTTATTACACAGTGATTATAAAGCTTTCATTAGTATTTCTATCAAGAATGTTATAAGGCTTTTTACCAGGTTTATTGTCATATTAATCGCCACATCCACAGTTCCTACCCGATGGTCTGACGGTAACACCACAGACTTGGATTTTGGCACCTGTAGTAATTAAACACATGCTTTTAATGATTAGAATCATTCATCATTTCCTTCTGATTGAGGCCAGTTGGTTATATTTCTACAAGTTTACAATGGGGAGGTCAAGAAAGGGCATTACATGAAATATTTACCTTGTTTCTTCTATTCTGTCCCTTTCTGAATCAATGTCGTCACTAGCAAATCTATTTCTTTAGGGATTTTGACTTTAACTGGTAAATATTCAGAACTTTGGATAAACTTGTGGTTCAAGGTCAAGGTCATTATTACAAGTATTTTTTAGAAATTTTTTCAAAATATGATGATAAAAATTCATGTGGGAATGGTGGTGTTCACATCACTAAGCTTCAAATATGTACATTGTCATTTTGATTTTATGTATGTTTATAATATTATGCCAAAACACATTGAAGAATATTCACAATATCTTTTTGGTTGTTGTATGGAAGTACTCTTATTGTTTGTTTGTTTTGTTTTGTCTTCCATTAAGTAACATTGTCTTATTTTTTATCGTTATTGTGCTCAGAATTCAACTTTGTTATTTTGATGAACATGTAAAAACATTTTTCTTTCGTTTTTTTTTTTAATTAGAAATCGCAGCTTAAAAAATTATTTACAAGATGGCAACAGGTATTTCAGGTAGCATATACATGTAGCAGTATATTAGTTCAGATATTTCCCAATGTTTTGGAAATTTATTATGCTGTTTTAGTATTCCAACATATCTTTTTCCAAATTTCTGTATCTCAAGCTAAAAATTAATTCAAATTATTTTAGTAACATATCAAACTAAAACAAACATAGAAAAAAGAAAAATTATTTATAAGAGCTTCTATATTATAGATTGGTATTTTCTGCCCGTCATCTTAAGATTGTGAGCTTATTATGGGCTGTGCGAGTCGCCTCCTGTCCATTGTTTGTCCATCCATTGCCCATCCTTAAACAATTATTATTATCAATGTTTCTTTAGAAGTACTAAATGGATCTTTCTTAAATTTCAAATGAAGGTTTCCTTTGGTCCCCAGTTGTGTTCTTTTGATTTTTGGGCTGTTAAGAGAAGCAAAATAACTGACACGTGCCCAGTTTGAATATTTATAATGAATGTTTGTTTTCACTTTGGATCTTTCTTAAATTTCATAAGTATGTTCCCCTTGGTTTAGTTCTGCTCATTGAGTTTGGGACTGATCAGAAAAACAAAATGGCTGATGATGACTATCATTGTTCTGACAGGTAAAGATCGTTATTCTCAAATAACTCTCAAATAATTATCTCAAATTACTTACAATTAAGAGCAAATAATAGGAAATAAAAGAAAAATGGGAAATAATGAAACTTTTCACGAATATATATATCAAACAATGGTTGACATCAATGTCCATCTTGGATACCTTGATATTTGATTCATTAAAAAATCACATTCATTTTGTAGTTCAATGTTTGCCTTAAGAAGTATCTCTCATAATCTTCAGAACTGGGGTTTTTTTTTTATCGTGAGAGTGAGTTCGTTTACAGAGACATTTGATATACTGGTATATAGATATACCGATGTAAATCTTGATTTAAATTTATGTAAAAAAAAGAGTTCTCAGTATGCCTAGTGTTGTGAACTGCTGAAAAAGCACAAAATGATCATAGACCACCTGGATTATTGTAGAATTATTATATATCAGTTTTATAAATAACTACCATATTTGACACAAAATGCACAAGTTCTTATTTTGCTTTTGAAAGTACATTTAGAAAGCAGACTTGCATGTTTTTATAAAGAAAACAGTCAAATCTAATAATGTGGGTCAGAATGAAATATTACCAGCTACATGGTAAAGGTGTTTTGATGGGAAAATTTGGAGAAATTTAAAGAACTTTAAAGAAATATGGAAGGGTTGAAAACATTTTAATGCTAGATGGCTACTGAAACCTTTGATTTACTAAAAGGCCAGCTGTTGTTACCAACAATAAAGGACATTGCTTCAGGCGTCATATCAAATATAAAAACGACATGTAGATACCACTCTTTAAGAGATATTTTATTTCTTCTACAATAAACCCAAAAAGGATAGGGATAAGATGTAATCTCTCTCTCCAAGTTGAACTATGATATAGTATTTGTTTGAAAGTATACTTACACTCCAAATGATGGAGAGTTGGCTTTTTATCTGACATGGGCTTACTGATGGATAAAAGAAAAATGTTAGAGAGATCTATACTGTACACAGGAAAAAATGTTTACCCTACTTTTGAAATAAAATCAAAGTGAATAACTTGCTTTCATGTCAAAGGAAAGGAAACATTTTGTAAATTTCTGAAATGTATCTGAATGATGAGTACCTAAATAAGTTTATAAAGAAACAATTTTTTTCTGTGATAGTGCCGTATTTTTTCACACTGACATTTCTGAATTTTGTGAAGGATATATGTACATCTGAATTTTTGTGATATACATTTTTGTTATTGTGTATGATGGATATTATTGAAGTTATGAAATGAGAGAGAGAAAGAAGGAGAGAGAGACATTCTTGTGACACAATATTATTGTAAACATTGTTTGAAGCAGATTTTTACAGATAATATTGGTAACCTACACACATTAATCCACTAACCCACATGTATAACTGTAAACCAATATTTTTTTGCTGAATTTTCTCACCTCAACAAATTGGTGGAGATTTACATTTAGGCTATACTTTAAAAATGCTTATTAAAACTGTCTCAATGTTTCAATTACAAAATTCACAAAAAGCAAGCTCGTACAAAAAAAGGTAATGGGTTTTGTTGAAAAGGCATCTGAAATTTATGGATCTAATACAGTAGTAATAGTCTTTATCATATACTGGTATGTGAACATGCATGGAATACTTAAGTTTTCTTTCTTTTTTTCGTTTTTTTAATTAAATGAACCTGCTTTAAATGTTAGAAGGTGCTTTTTAAGATATTTGTTTTGTGTGCATGTGCAATCTTAGGTAAAATGTGGAAAATTTCTCTTATAAAATAGATGACACAAGATCAATGATAGGAGCTGTTTACTGGGGTTGATCTAGACTTATTTTACATTGGCTGTATCAAAGTTAAGTTTATGTGTTTGATACATTAATACAGAGGCTTAGAAACATCCAAAGCTGTCTGTTGTTATGAAATTACTTAATTGTGATAAGTGGATGATTCTTTACGTGAACACTATTTCTTAAACCATGGATTGGGAGGGAATTGATGTGGATAATGTAATTCCTTGTTTTTATTGTTTTACGTTTTAATTTGTACGGTGTTGTCCCTCTGCCAAAAAAATGCTGTCCATACGACTTAATTTGCTTGATCAAATTTTCACATTTTAAATGAAATAATCTGTTATCTGGATTAACATTTTGTATGTTGATGGAAGAAATATAAAAAATTCTTATTTCATTCACAATCTGAAAAAATTTGAGAAACAAAATTCTGTTGAAGACATTTATGTATATTTTATTAATTTGAAATCCAGTTGTGTCCCGCAGAACAATCTTAGCAAGTTGTTTTTATGTTTATTGTTTCCAAAGAATGGTGATGGGCTGTACTACACATGATGCTTCATATTTTAACTCATTTTAAGTGATTATTTTTCATCCTGAGGATTTAGGTTTACAAAATAATCACCATATTTATCGGGGTTGGGCTTATAAAAGGACACCAGGGGTCATCACAACCTCTGATCCAATGCCAGAGGTGGGCTTATTACAGGGAAATGACATAATATTTCATGGCTGTGCTTATTTCCAGTTCAATGCTGGTAATAGGAGGTGATAAATGAAGGTATCTTTTGTTTCAACTTTCACTTATTAAGAGATTGTTGAATTTATTTACTGTCTTCACTGTGACTTAAGACAGAGATATGTACGTTTAGAAATTTCTTTGGCTAGCACTATTGAAATTTTTCATTATTTAGGAATTGTTGTTGAAAGAGTCAACAAATTCAGGAAGTTATTGTAGGAAATACAGAATACTTTCTTGCTGTTTTATGCAATATATGAATAAAAAATATATTTACATGTAAAATTGGCAGATGAAGGTTGAAGAGGGTGAGATAAATTTGGGTAAATGTTAAATAGGTAGATTTATCTTATTTGCTAATTAGATAGATCTGTACAAAAATGAAGATTTAGCTGCGTACAATGTAGTAACCTCTGTCTGATCTGAACACATACATTAGCCTCATTGTATTTGATATAAACAGGGTCGTTTTCGTTTATCAAATTTCCAGTTGGACCAGGGTTGTTTGCTTATGAAATAAGGATGGACCTACTGAACTTACCTTGTTTCTTACAAGCTTTGACAAAGCCTTTAAAGGTCTGTATTAATATTTGAAGGTCCATCCCAATGAATGCCTGTATTGTTACATTGAAAGTAGCAATAAACCAGTTTGTATAAACATACAAGCTTCTGTAGACTGTTCACTGTATAAACATACAAGCTTCTGTAGACTGTTCACTGTACATTTATATCCCTGTAATGGTTTATTGACTTATAGAAGTGTATTGAATCATTATAAAAAAAATTACAGAAATTCTTCACAAGATTTAAAATTCGGAGGTCAACAAGGTAAGCTCCTTTACCAGAACTTGTCTTCCCTTTTCCATCATCATCTGCCAGAATAGTATACAGTGTATGAAAAAGCAGATGTGTGTTCATTGTGTTTTATCTGCCAGATCATGTTTGTAAATCCACTTGCAGAAATCCATATGTGTACTAAACACACTGAGTGTGTCTTTGTTGACGCTATATAAACTGATTAAATCTATATTGGTAAAGAGTAGAACTGTCTTCATATTGTTTTTCCCCATAATTCAATAATTCTCTATTTCAGCTTACTTGACATAGAGTGCTTGTGATTTTGTGTGACAGTTTCTGTATGTCAGCTCATTAATTAAAAGTTAGAAAACTGTCTAAAGTTAGAAAACTGTCTGAAGTTAGAAAACTGTCTTAAGTTAGAAAACTGTCTAAAGCTAGAAAACTGTCTAAGCCACAGTGTAAACAACAGTCTGATATACACCTGAGATAGAAAACTACTTTCTCCTTGTATATGACCTTGGCCAACTTTTAATGTCAGAGAAGTCAAAACTATGAAAGTCAATTTAAATTATCTGTATGATGTAGAGCAATGTGAGACAGCAGTGTAGATGATTAAAAAAAAGTGTTCAGTGTTTGGTTCAGAGGAACTGTGAACATAGCTGAGTTCTGCCATATTTTGCCTTCAGATTCGTGGGATGGTAATAGGTCTTTCCAGGAAGAATAATTACAATACAGATAAATCTGTGCTTCAGATTAAAATCTTCTTGGGCAGAAACATTGTACACTAACATTGGTCTCCTGAGCGATAAGATGAACCTGTTGACTTTCATAATCTAATGGTCGTGGTTGATGTGTCATATCATACCAAAGTTGATTATCAGTTCAACACAAAAAAAAATTCTTCAGAGAAAATAATCAAAATTTGCCAGAGAGGGACATATCTAGATCAATACATCACTGACATGATAAAGGGGGAAAATACCACAAAGTATAATCTAAATTTTCCTACTTGTTTTGTATCGAATTTCAGAAATGAGGGTCAAGGTCACTTGATTGTAACTTCAGATGTTGGCCACATGATAGTGTTAAAACGCTATCAATACCAATACGTTATGTAGAGAAGCCGAAGGCTTCACAATATGTACATCTATTGCAGTTTTCCGGCGATCTCTAACTTGCCTCCCTTCTGGCTTTTCTTTCGAAACACGTTGGGCATATCTACCTATGTGCATTAAACTATATAAATGCTACTCATGATATATAATACAATTAAAGGTAACAACAAGCCAGGCAATGCATGTGCATTTGTACCACTGTCATGATGTTACCTTTGGCTGAGTTACCTTAGGTGAAGAGCATTATTTTAGGGTGTACGATTTCCTTTTGTGAGCACGAGTTTTCCAAACTCGATCTACATTTTCTTAATCAAGTAATTTTAATGGCGCAGCATTTCTAAGCAATGTTTTATCATTGGAGGAACAGGAAAATTAATCCAAGATGAACTTAATTCTCAGAAATGAAAAATTTCCGTATAATTCTGATCATGCAATGCAACAATTAGAATTAACCAGCAAATTGGCCTAGTAGAACAGTAAAAGTCATACAGGTCTGCAGCCTCACAACAGGAAGGTGTCCTTCAAAATATACTGAAGATAAAACAAAATGGGCCATGAGTGTTCTAGGAAAACACGACCAACACCTGAGTGGAAACAGCAACTTGGGTAAGCAATTTTGAGGGACAATGTGTTGGAATTTTTACTTTCTGATTTGAATGAAGCTCCTTAGTAATAAACTAGGATGGAGGGAAATATAGACTTAACGTTGTTTGAACTTTGACTTGAAGACATTTTGGAACTTTTTAAAGCAGGGCCTTGGAGTAAACAAAGAAAGAAATATAATAACATGCTTAGTGTTTGCTGAGGCAGAAGAAGATTACATACGGAAGATTTTTGGTAAAAGTAGTCCTCAGAAATTCTTTTCATATCAACTTGGTTAAAATTTTGTATAGATTTGGCTTAATTTTTGACATGTACGTTACCGAAAGATGAACAAATAAATGTTAAATAGGTGACAACGGAAATAATTGCTTAGAATACAGGAGGACGTGTCCAAGACCAATTTTTTGGGTATTTTACGCAAAACGTAACAATGTGTTACAAGCAAACTGGATTTCAAGACCGGAGTTGTTAGGACTTACCAGCAATACGGTCCGGTATGATTTAATATTCAATTTTAAAGACAAAGATTGAGGAGTGTAATACACTGTACCTACGCCCATGGAAATGTCCTTAAGCAGGTTGTTGAACTCCCTTGTTGGCATCAATCAATTACAACCTAAACGGTCTGTCAATGTAAAATGTTCATGTAAAGCTACAGGTAGTCTGAACGGCCCGTCAATACAAATTGTTCATTCAAGGCCACACGAAGCCTTAACGTTCCGTCAATACAAACAGTTCATTCAATGCCACACGTAGCCTTAACGTTCCGTCAATACAAACAGTTCATTCAAGGCCACACGAAGCCTAAACGGTCCGTAAATACAAACTTCTTTTAAGGCCACACGTAGCCTTAACGGTCCGTCAATACAAAGTTCATTTAAGGCCACACATAGCCTTAACGGTCCGTCAATACAAAGTTTATTTAAGGCCACATGTAGTTTTAACGTCAGTCAATACAAAGTTCGTGTAAGGTCACACTTAGCCTAAACGGTCCGCAAATACAAAGTTCATTTAAGGCCACACGTAGCCTTAATGGTCCGGCAATACAAACTTCATTCAAGGCCACACATAGCCTTAACGGTCCGTAAATACAAAGTCTACTTAAGGCCACATGTAGTTTTAACGTCAGTCAATACAAAGTTCGTGTAAAGTCACACGGTTTAATCTTAATGGTCCACCTATACAAAGTGCTTATAAGGCCACACGGCAACCATCAACACAAAGTAAAAAGTTGCGAGCACGGAAGCCGCAGTGGTCCCTGAATGCACAAGAATGTCGCCCAAATCAATCGTGCAATGGTGCCTAAACGGTGCAGATGAAGATCCCAGGGTGGTTTGTGTTTCTTCGAAAGATTATCACAGACCGTAATTTGCTGACTTGATTGTATCCTCAGGACATGTGATGGGATGCCATGATAAAAGTTTTGCGCATCCGTATGTGAATTTACTCTATACTTTCATGTAGTATTTCTGTTCCACGCAAGCGCTATCACTATCATCGGTACTTGCTTCCCTGGCTGCAAGCAACCGGAAGTGGATTGACAATTTCAAAGGATGAAATAACTACAATCTCCACATTACTTTTTGTGTTAAGAAAGTAAATATCATTTAATTATCATCTACACAGTACACGAAACAAACCATGCTGTAAAATTTTCACTTAAAAGTAAAAAGAAACAAAAAAAAAAAAAAAAAAAAACAACAAAAACAAACAAAAAAATTAAGAAATTGACCCTCTTGCCTTTGAACACAATTTCTAAAGTCTATTCTGATGGCATAACGGAATCTATAGTTGCTAATGGTGCCGCTTTTTCTATTGTTTCTGTTTTACATTGGGCCCCAGAACCACATGGATTTAAAACCTCCGTAGATTGTGCGGAATTGGGCTTGTATTTTTTGTACCAGGGATCAAATCTAACATTTCCCAATGGAATTCGTTCTTGTGATCGCGTCAACATTTTCAGAATTAAAATTCGACACTGTTCACTCACTTCCGGTTTTGACGGAAATGACACACGGCTTTGGACTTGCTTTAGTAACTTCTTGTGGTTCGAATCATCGTATGGAAGGCGACCGTATAGCTGTGTGGAAATAAAAAGAGATGAACATTAGTTATCTGTGGATAATTCCGTTTTGGTCTCACTATTTAAACAGATTAGTGTTTAAATATTCTGACAAATATATAAACAAAACGAGGAAAATATGTGTTGATGAAGTAGCTTTCATTCTTTGAAATCGAGAGATCCCAGAGGGATTGTGACGCTCACCATTGCTTGCCCATTGTCTGATTGATTTATTCTTTGAAAGTTGGATCTTTTCCAACTGTTCCCTGTTTTTGCTCTTAATGATAAGAATATTGAACATTAAACCTTTGCAGAAAGAGCGATGACTGTGGCCAGGATGGCCAACTAATAACCCCGCTCCGTAATCAACAATAATTTTTGGAAGGGTTTTCCCAACAAGATTCCTCCAAGAGTTCTTCATTTGTCACTATGACAACCAAATGTATTTTGCATCCCCCATAAACCTTTTTTTTTAAACTTAATTAGATAAAATCTTAATTTCGACCAATCAGAAGCCTATGTGTTTCCATGGTTTTGGAACACCTTTTATGTCAACGTATAGGCTATAATTAGCTGTAGCATTAGATCAAGCTCAAATGGAATTGAAAGGGCACAGACATATGTCGTAGGGATGTAGTATGCCAAGTTTGAGAAATATTGCTTCAGCATTTAATTATGTATACTAGACACTATATTGATATTCCATACAGAATATCTACAAAAATGGGCTTAATTCTTACAAATGTTGTTGAAATTTCACAAAAAACGAAAGGGCACAACCATACATCATAGGGATGCAGTATATAAAGTTTGAGAAATATTGCTGCAGTACTTTATTAGATCTACTCAACACAATATTCCATACAGAATATCGACAAAAATAGTCATTGTTCTACCAAATGTTCTCAAAATTTTATAAAAAGTGAAAGGATACAACTTTATATCATAAGGATGTAACATACCAAGCTTGAGAAATATTGCTTCAGCACTTTTCCAGAAACACTTGACACAATATGCTGGAGAGACAGACGGTCGGACGGACGGGCGACGGACTACAGACGTAGGGCGATTTTAATAGCTCACCATCTGATGATGGTGGACTAAACATGTAAAGATTTATCTGCGATAAAATTCAATACAAATGAGGCGTCCTTATAGATCGGCCATTATCCGACCAGTTTTAGCAACTTATTGCATCTTTTGGTATTGTACATTGCATATTTGTGGATGGTTGGGTTGGTGGCTGGAAACGGCTTTAATTTGTTTTATCAAAATTTGCAAAGTATTCGGAGGCCATATGCAAACCTATTATAAAATTTACTGTCAAATTAACTCTCTATTTCAGATTCGAGTGATGCAGGCAACCGTGGATCCTTTCCCTTAACTGATGTGAAGAGGTCTGAGGTATCTGTCCGACCACATTGGTTTTCACCGGGTACTCAGTTTCCCGGCGCGATTCTCTCCGGGTCAACAAGAGTGATTTTTACGCGTGTATTTGAGCTGATAGCTTGTTTCGCAAGTGTCTATTCATGCATAATAGTTAAAGTTAATAAATAAACCTTTACCGTTCAAATGAAAAAATACACTCAACCTAAAAAAGCGATCTTTGACTATTGAATTAAATCATTAAAATAAAAATAAAATATTAAAATATTAAATCTACATTTTTATACGATCTGAAACAGAACAGCCTGCTAGTCATGAAATGCAAAATGTGAATGATAATGTGACAGGCCCGAGATCCCAAACGTCTCTGAATACTTTTAGGCGCCGGTGTGATTGGTTTTCGTTTGAATCCCAGTGTCGGTAGAAATTTGGGGTCCTTTAACGTTACCTTGAAATATTCACAGTACTTTGATGTTGCAATCGAGGAAAATAATTTTCACATTGACGCATGATGTGGTAGACATGTACACTGCAATATTGTGAAATAACAGGGCAAACACATTCCTGTCGGAATGTCATGGCTGTGCCAACTTAGCCAATGACGTATTGTCCATCCGCTGCTGAGTGACAGAGACCGTATTAACGATATGTTTTTAGTATTATACTCCGATAACAGGACGATGAGACAGATAGAGTGGATCGTGTCTTCTACTTACCATTGTAAACAGTACAACTCCAATGCTCCAAACGTCAGCCAGAAATGCATCATACGCTTGTCCCTTCAGAATCTCGGGAGGTGCATAAGCATAACTTCCACAATATGTCTCGCTAAGTTTCACCTCCCCGGATTTGCTCTTGGTGATCTTCTTTGCGAATCCAAAATCGGTGACTTTCAAATTTTGTTTATAATCTAAGAGAAGATTTTCGCACTTGATGTCTCTATGGACAATACCTTTGTTATGCATATACAACATGCCATCTTGGAGTTGATAAAACCAAACCCCGGCAACATCTTCTTCAATCATCTTTTTCTCACGTATGGTGTCCAGAAGGTCAACACATCCTAGTTCCATGACCAGGAAGAATCTCGTTGTTGTCTCTATGACCTGATAAAAAGCGATCAAGGATGGATGCTTCAGAATCTTGATCACGTCTATTTCTCGCGGGAGAAACTTCGTTAGATAATCATCGGGTGCCTTTCGTTTGGAAATTATCTTGACTGCAACCTTGTGTTTTCGATTGACATCGTATGCTGATCTGACGCACGCGTAAGACCCAGTTCCAAGTGTCTTCCCGACTATGAATCCTTGACCCTCCAACACCTGAAAATTTAGTTTTAACGTATTTATCTGCCAAATTACAATGACAAGAGGACATATCACAAATCATAGCAAATACATGTATCAAATATACAAAGACGGGCATGATTGGGTAGCATGTAAAAGTATGTAATGGTAAAGTTAACTCAAAAGGAGAGATTATGCACAGACAATACGAAAAACACCACGAACTTAATCTACTGCTGGTATCTATAAAATTATGCACACATCGAAAAATAATCAACATTGGTTTGTATGGACAGGTCAAGGTTGTCAGATCTAAATTTATTTCATAATCAACATCTAAACTTTAAAACGACTCCAATCTCTGATGTCTATGAATCAGGATATTCTGAGAAGAAATGATACCTGGAAACGCCGACTTGTTCGACTAACTCGTGCCGAAGTTGTGGACGAGACGGTAGCATTCGGCTGCTTCTCCTCTTGGTCTTGTGTATCAAAGGTGGAATCTCGTTCTGACATTATTCATGGCCAGCATCTGATTGAGACTTGGCAAATTGTCCAGAGCGCTGTCCCCGCGCCCGCATCATCAGAGGTAAACAAAGTTCCTAATGATGACGTCACAGATAATTCTTACCATGAACAATTCCCTTGTGACGTCACAATAGACTACGTGTTTTTTCTCAACTACATGTTGACGCTCTCTTTTGGTATGTAGCCGCGAGAACACGCCAATAACCTCGTCATGTTTTATTTACAATTTTTAACCGTTCAGTGTGAGCTTCCTCTGTGTGTGTGCGTATGTGTGTGTGTGTTGGTGCGTGCATGCGTCCGTCTCGCCGTCCGTCCGTTTGTCTGTCTGCGGATTTAAGTAGCGAACTCTCTTAGCCCTAAAGATAACAACAACCCAAATTATCACCAATAAAGAAAAAGCATATTGCCTTTGACGTTTTTTTCATTTCCTTGACTTTTTAATTCTCACAAGACGGACTCTCAAAGACGGACCAAGGCATGCGCCCTTACTCATTCCATCAAATGATGTGTTTGGTTACACTGAGACAGTGTCTCCTCCTTGTAAATAATGGATACCTCACTGAACATAATGCAGGAGACCGACTACAACCATTCAGAACAATTAGGACAAAATGTTTGACAGATATTACGATCACAACATCACAGGACAGTCTCACAGTGATCTCATGTCACGTCAGTCGCCTCGAGAAAGGATCGAACCAAACACACATCGGACCTTCATCCAAAATGATCCGTCGGTTGACATCAAAGTATATGTTATCACATACGATATACATACATGTATATATGTGCTCGAGTTCCAAGGATTCCGCTCTAATAGCTTAGACATGTATATATGTCGTTACATATTTACAGAATTATGTTTACCTGGGAAGAAGCGTAAATCAAAGCCGGTAACTGATTGTTACCATGCCTTGTAATTAATTTCACGACGTTGATGCTGATCTTCTGGAGAAAAATTAAAAGGAACGGAAAGTAACATAGAATCCTTGGATCTAACGGGATGGTACATGCCCGCACTCCTTCTCATTCCAACTAATATTTGTCTGTTTTTCCTCTGCTGATTTATTTTTTATTGTTGAAAATGTTAACATTTTTTTTTACATTGCAGAAATAAGTATAAGCATGGCACTCTTTGTGATAGACGTTTGATCCACATAGGATCTATACAGTGTGTATGTCATATCGGTTCAGCGATAATAACTTGTATCATAAAAAATACAATACCATGATTTATGCTTACATTGGATCCAATATAACGGTTTAGAACGATCGTGACATTTGCAGTCTTCAAGTCTCAAATTCATACTTAAACTAGATACCAACTACATTATTGTAGTTCTGACAATATTACCATTCCTTTACACTGTTGTCTCCGAGACCGGGTAATATCTGTACTGACTAGACGACGACGACAATGACGACAATGACGACAATGACGACGACGACAACAACAAGAAAGAAAATAATTATCGTACAGCAAGTGTTTGAGGAAGCTGTGCACAACACTTCATCTATTGCATTGAATTAAGAACACCAAAATCCACGAGATGGAAGATGTTGTTTTTTTTTCAATTCGTATGCAAATATTGTAGGCATTTAAAAATGTACTTTTGGTTAGACTGTTCGTTTCTGTCTAAATTGAACATCAACATCGCTAGTTTCGTTGTCTTGGTTTTCCCCTTTTGTCTGCATATAATAACAGAACCACAACATATAATAACAGAACCACAACATATAATAACAGAACCACAACGTATAAAAACAGAACCACAACATATAATAACAGGACCACAGCATATAATAACAGAACCACAACATATAATAACAGCCACACACCATATAATAACAGGACCACAGCATATAATAACAGGACCAAAACATATAATAACAGAACCACAACATATAATAACTGCCACACACCATATAATAACAGGACCACAGCATATAATAACAGAACCACACCATATAATAACAGGACCACAACATATAATAACAGCCACACACCATATAATAACAGGACCACAACATACAATAACAGAACCACAACATATAATAACAGGACCACAACATATAATAACAGAACCACAACATATAATAACAGAACCACAGCATATAATAACAGAACCACAACATATAATAACAGAACCACATCATATAATAACAGGACCACAGCATATAATAACAGAACCACAACATATAATAACAGGACCACACCATATAATAACAGGACCACAACATATAATAACAGAACCACAACGTATAATAACAGGACCACAGCATATAATAACAGGACCACAACATATAATAACAGGACCACAGCATATAATAACAGACACAACATATAATAACAGAACCACAACATATAATAACAGCCACACACCATATAATAACAGAACCACAGTATATAATAACAGAATAACAACATATAATAACAGGACCACAACATATAATAACAGGACCACAACATATAATAACAGGACCACAACATATGATAACAGAACCACAGTATATAATGACAGGACCACAACATATAATAACAGAACCACAACATATAATAACAGACACAACATATAATAACAGGACCACAACATATAATAACAGCCACACACCATATAATAACAGGACCACAACATATAATAACAGAATAACAACATATAATAACAAAATAACAACATATAATAACAGGACCACAGCATATAATAACAGAACCACAGCATATAATAACAGGACCACAACATATAATAACAGAATAACAACATATAATAACAGGACCACAACATATGATAACAGAACCACAGTATATAATGACAGGACCACAACATATAATAACAGAACCACAGCATATAATAACAGAACCACAGTATATACTAACAGAACCACAGCATATACTAACAGAACCACAAAATATAATAAGAAAGCAGCATTTTATAATTTAATTAAAACATATACGACAGCGCTATGGCGACCATATGTAAGGCATCTATGGCCATGGCTCCATGACCAGCAGCCTATATATGACGGTCTGATTGAGAAGGAATATGTTTTAATTTTGAAGGATCTGTGTTTACGACCTTCGCACTTTCTTGACCTTCACTGTATAATATCATTGAGACTTAAAATATTCTAAGTCCGTGATGATATATGAAGATTATATTTATAGATTAAAATAGCACAACATTGAGAGTACACTTAATCAGTGACAGGAGCTACATGTATATGAAATAAATCATGAAATGATATAGATAGATACGAAAAGGTGAAAATCGTATGCATGTGTCTGCCGCAGCTTTCTTTCCCTGCGACCTTCTCCCTTTTAGTTAAAAAATACCCCGATGATCAACACAGAATCACACTCTGTCCTAATATGACCCTTGACCTGGCTGTTGTCGTGACGTTAAATCTCGAACAAATTGCATCACATCTATACATTATGTACATAAATAAACCGAGACGGGTGTCTGTTTTGAGAGAAGACGAAGTTCACAGCGAGAATTCAACAACGCAGATGATAATATTTAACCGGATGGCTGTTCCAAATTTAGAATTTACCGCTAATAACCTGGGCACGTGCGCATACAACCAACACGTCACTAGAACACTGACGTTCATCCGCGAGACAATGTCAAGAAACGGGAGGCGTCATGGAGACGGAAAACTTGACACCAAACCAACTGAAAACACAGGTGACTACACATATGTACATGTTTAACCACGTACTAAAAGGTGTTTTTGAACATGAATATGATATTTCTATATTTATTGTACAATGTACTTTCCCATAAATTTATTTTTTGTCCTGCTAAAGTATAAATGATCCATACCTCGAGCTCTGTTTGCTCTAAATGTCAAGAAAAGAATACCAAACAATCAAATTGGCTGTAAAATCTTGGCATACCCTTTTTTCAGAATAGGGAAGCCGTTTATTTTCAACCTAGTTTAATCAACATGTACATATAAACATTTCATAATAACATATTTGGAGAAAAGGTGAGCGAAACTACGCCTACGTTCGAGTAAAAACCAAACTTTCAAACCCCTTCTTCGCCATCATAGTGCACTTCAGGAAAAACCTCTGAGAGGAAACCTGCGCCCGGCAGATAGACAAAATGACCAACGGGGAAGCACTGGGACTCTGCTTATCTAATATACATACATATCTCTTGTGAATAACTATTTTACAAGCATAATTATATACACAAAAATACATCTTGATGAAAACTATCTTTACAAACAAAGTGCGTTATATACAGAAAATTTGATAAGAACTATCTTTACAAACATAGTATGAAACTAAGAAGACAAGAAATAAAAACTCGCACATACCAATTAAAGGGAGGTAATATGGGGTGGTTGGTGGGACATGTTGTAAAACAACTACAGGTGAATAAGAAAGTTACGTTGCAAATAAGAAGAAAACTTCTAGAGAAAATTTTAAAAAATCAATATGGCGTCGAGGTGTCTGAAAAATGCTGCTGAAATGGGTTTTCAATAGCCACGCAGGGGCAAACTGACCCCAGGTCGGACAAATGGGGATCACCGAAGCCCCACAGGGGCCAATTATACTGACCAGTTAATGATCACCAGACTTAATTACCATACATACATTTACATATAAACTGAAACATCATGTACATAAAACCTAAGTATGTGTGAACCTTTATTGTACAAAAATATGTCTATAAATAGACATTTGCTTTATGTCCTACTAAAGTATAAAAGAAATGATCCATACCTCGAGCTCTGTTTGCTCTAAATGTCGAGAAAAGAATACCAAACAATCCTATTGGCTGTAAAATCTTGGCATATCATTTTTAGAATAGCTGTTTATTTTTAACCTAGTTTAATTAACAGGTACATTTAAAAATTTCATAATAACATATTTGGAGCAAAGGTGAGCGAAACTACGCCATACTGGCCTAGGAGGCAAGGTGCCACCTACTTGATTTATATTACTGTACAATGTACTTTCCATAACTTGATTTATA